CTGCCGCCTCCTGTTTGCGGCCGTTCAACAGGTGCAGCTGCAGCCAGCACGTGAGAGCTCGCTGAGCGGCCCCCCGCCCTTCCGCAGCGCTTAACGCTTTGGCTGCTGGAATTGGCCTTTGTCCCGGGAACCGTCCCGGCGAGGTGAGCTGGGTGGACGGGCCAGGGTTTGAACACTTCCTCCTGGCGCCTCTCCCTCAAGGAGGGCGGGAGGCGGCTTGCTGTGACCAGGATTCCCGGGTCTGAGCAACTCGCACGTGATGCAGCCCGTCTGGCCCAGGCGTGGTGCGGAGAGGGGAGAGGCAGCGTCCGGGCTGCCCCGCTCGCAGAGCAGCCGGCCAACCGACTTTCCGCCGTGCTTCCCTTGGAGCTGCGAAGGCCTTGCCAGAGGCCCTGCGCTGGAGGGGCGGCTGCGGTCCTCCCCCCGCAGCTCCCGCCTCACCTGGGAGGGAGGCATGGCGCCCGCGGCCAAGGCCCCTTGGCGACTGGGGCCGGAGCCCTGCCAGGCCTTGCCCGGGCCAGCAGGCACGTGAGCTGATCTGGCCCGCGCCAGAGGCGTCCTTCCCACTGTGGGCCAAGGGCAGCCGCCGAGCCTCCCCACACTCTGTTTTGGCTCCCGCGGGGACTGCTGGCCGAGCCCAGCTTGATGTGGCAAAGAGCCAGGCCCTGGTGACCAGGCTGTGCAGGGTCATTCCGGGGGCATGAAGTCAGTGCAAAGGGGAGAGTGGCCACCCTCCTGGGGGACCCCGCTTAGCTGAGAGGCTCTCCACAAGGCCCCCGGCAGCCCACGCCTGGGCTGCCGGGCCTCCCTCCATGGATGTCCTTGGGCAAGGCCGGGGTGCAGGACGGGAGCAGCCTGGGACCCTGCAGGTGCCCTTCCTCAGGGCACGCGGGCCTCTTCTCGCTGCACGAGGCATGCCTGGCGAGCCCCGCCAGCCCGTCCTAATCCTGGCAGGTGTGTGCCGGACATTCCCAGGGCCAGGAGTGACGGCATGGTCGGCTGAGCAACTCAATCCCCACGTTCAGGGTGAGCCAATTTCTGTGTGGTGCCCCGTTTGGTCTGCAGCCCGGGCTCCTTCCTCCGCATCGGCAGGCGGCAGAGCGCAGCCTCGGGCCGCCTCAGGCTGGGAGCTTCCCCTGCGTCTGCCCGCCTCGCCTCGCCAGGCTCTGCTCTGGCTCCCTGCCACGCAGCCGATGTGAGAGGGCCCCCTCGGAGGGCCCGGGGCCCCGTGCGGCCTCGTTCCTTTGCGAGCGCCATGCTGGCGTCGCTTGCTTCCTGGAGAGCTGGCGTGAAGGGCAGACACGAACCCCCCCCAAAGCGGAGTGCGCCCCACTGCTGGCAGGCTGGGAGGGAGCACCTCCCCCCACCCCGTCCCACCCGGGGCTGTTTGGGCCCCAGGCCTGCACTGTGTGTGCCTCGTCGGCCTGCTTAAGCCTGGCCACTCCAAAGAGTGCCCGTAGCTGGCAGGGTGTTGTGGCACGCGAGCAGAGAGACGACGACCACGGCCGGCTGCCGGCGCTCCGGCTCCAGGATGCACGTGGCTGGCCTGTCAGTGGCTGAGCCACTCGGCCCGGCAGGAAGTGGGGACGGCGCTCCAGTTGCAATCCTGCCTTGGGGGCTTCCGGAGGGGCAGCCTCGCCTGCCTCTTGCTGCCCAGCCAGCCTTTGCCCTGGGGGCCTGCATGGCCCCTCGCCCCTCGTGGGGCTCCCAGCATTGGGGGGGGGGCGCAGAGCCTACTGGCCTCCCGTTGCCCCAGGCAGCCCAGCAAACACCTCCGGGGTGGGGAGGCTGCCCTGAGCCATTGGGCCTGCGCTGTCAGGGTGGGCAGGCGGTTCCTGTGACAGCAACCCCCCCCCCAAGAGTGCTCCTGCCTCTGGCTCTGTGGTCCTCGTCCCCCCACGGGCCTCCCCTTCTGCTCTGGGCGAGGCCGGCGAGACTCTTGTCCAGCAGAGCAGAAGCATTTTCTGCCTGTACGGCGCCTCCCAGCAGTGCCTTCTGCTCCTGCACAGGAGCACTCTTGAGCTGCCCCTTCGCTTCCCGGCGCGGTGGGCCCAGCCAGAGCGCCACCATCCCTTCTCGATCCTGCCAGTGGCTGGGCGGTCCTGAGATCGGGGCAGGGCGGGTGTGTGGGCAGCCAAGAACACTTGCCCGGCAAGTGAGGTGGGCCTGCGTGCCGGCTAGCCAGGCCGGTCACCGCAGAAGCCCGCCCAGCGGCTGCGGCCATGTGGGCCGGCCGGGGCAGGCTCCGCACCGCCTCCTTCCTGCCAGAGTCGTAGCATCACAGCAGCGTCGAGTGGGACGGGGCCACGAAGGCCCTCGCGTCCACCCCCAGTTGTTGCAGGACAGCATTGCAAGGGGGCCTGCAAGCCCCTCCTTTCCGAAGGACTGTTTGGGTGGCCCCAACTCCCTCTGGGGAGACCACAGGGCGGGCAGTCAGGTGGACAGCGAGGGGGAGAGGGCAGGTGGGCCGGGCAACTCCCTGCCGGCCTGTTACCTGGGAGCAAAAGTGGGCAGGGAGTGCCAGGGAGGGGCCTCCACCCCACAGCCCTGCAGTGCGGCCTTCCTCTGGGACGGAGTCGGTGTCCATCTGGCCTGCAAGCCGGCAAGTCGGTGCTGTTGAATGGCCTGCGACTGCTGGCCATGGGGGCTGCCAGTTGCCGGGGAGGGGCGGCTGCAGACGTCCCCTGCCGGTGGGGCTGCCCGCAGGCTGGGCACGGGGGCAGAGGGCTGGAGCAGCACTGCAGCCCCTGCTGGGGCGGCCTTCCTCCCCTGCTGCCCCCGCGAACGTGGCTTAGGACACAGGGCGAGGGCGAGCGGGCTGGGATGGCTCTGGCCCGGGCTCGCTCGTGCCTGCCATAACCCCTAGGAGACACGGCCTGCGCGCCCGAAGCATGCAGCCCCGAGCGGCACCGCCCGCCTGCTCTTGTGCTCGGGCCGGCTCGGCGGGACCGAGGCGCCACACGCCGCGTGGTGCTGCTGTGCTTGGCTGCACGGCCGGCACTCTTGGCCGGCCCCGCTCGCTCGGCCCCTCCAGCCGGGGAGGGCTGCCCTGCGTGCCCAGCCGGCCTGTCCAGGTCCACCCCGCGGGTCGCTGGGCGGGCCTCTGCGTGGAGGGGCAAGGGGCCCCGGGGCTGGAGGAGAACAGCCGCTCGCTGACCCCCAGCTGACTTGGCGGCTTGCCAGCACTTGCTGGGTCAGGACGGCCCTCCCCGCCGGCTCCCAGCCCTTGAGACGCCGAGATTAGCGGCGGCTGGCGAAGGTCGCCTGTCTCCCCGCCGGGCCGGGGGGCGCCTCACCTCCCCGCCTGCTCATCTCCCGCTTGCCTTCCAGGTTCCCTCCTCCCGGCCGTGGCAGCCTCAGCCGGCCTCCGGATGGGCGGCCCTTGAGCGGCACCCGGGCAGTGCGCGGGCAACCGCCGGCCCAAGCAGACCGCCACCAGGGCCGTCCAGGGGCTTCCCTCGCGAGGACCAAGAGCCGGTGACGCGCACGCGGCTTCCCCGACGGCCGTCCTTTGCCGGCAGCGGCTGTGCCCGCCCCTGCGCCTGCACCATGCCGGCAGCGAAGTTCGGTGCGGCGGATTATGCCATTTTCGTGCTGCTGCTGGTGTTCTCGGCGGGCATCGGCCTGTACTACGCCCTGAGCGGGGGGAAGCAGCACACGACCCAGGAGTTCCTGCTGGCCGACCGCAGCATGACCTTCCTGCCCGTGGCGCTCTCGCTGCTCGCCACCTTCCAGTCGGCTGTGGCCCTCCTGGGCGTCCCCTCCGAGATCTACCGCTTTGGGACCGAGTACTGGTTCCTCGGCTGCTCCTACTTCCTCGGGCTCCTGATCCCGGCTCACGTCTTCATCCCGATCTTCTACCGCCTGCGCCTGACCAGCGCCTATGAGGTGAGGGCCGGGTGTGGGCTGGGCGCGGGTGGGACGGGGTGCCGGAGCCAGCCGGGGAGGCGCCGCGCCCACTCTCCCGGGGCTCCGTGGGCCCCGCACCCCTCACCTTGGTGCAGCTACGGAAGGGCAGAAGGAGCAGCTGAACCGATGGGGGGAGTGCGGCAGCCGCCCATGGGGACACGTGTGGGGACTTTTCCTAGCCTCACCCTCCTCAAGAGCAGCACCCGGGAGGCGGGGGGAACAAGGGCTGGCTCTGCACGCCACGGTCCCAGCCTGGGCCCTCGCGCACCTGCGGGGGGTGGGGGGTGCCGTGCCGGGAGGCCGCGCCCCGTCTGCGCCGCAAATGCCCCGTTCCGTCTGGGAATCCACCTTCCCGCCTTTCTGTGCCGCCTTTTCCGAGCTTTCGACCTGCTCTCGCAGGAGCAGGGATTCCTCCCCTCCGTCCTTTGGCTCCTTGGAATCGAGTCGCCGGGGAGCAGCAGGTGCAGGATAGCCTGCCTCTTGGCGGGGTGACGAATCCAGGGAGCCCGAAACACACCCGGAGCGCACACTGCCTCTTCCGCACTCCTGCCACACAGTGTGGCTGGCGCAGGGGCCCGGCTGGGCAGGCCGCACGAGCCTGGGCTGCTGCTTCCCGGGAAGGGGGGGGGGGACTGGAGAAAAAAGGGTGAGCAAAAGGCCGCTCCCCAAAAGTCATTGGCAGCCCCCCACCCGACGCTCTGGGTCGGGTGGGGTGTCGGAGGGAGGGAATCTTCCTCCCACTCAGCAGCTTGTCCAGCCCTTTGCGTGGAGCCTTTTCGGGGTCTGGCTACGTGCTCCCCCCGTGGGAGACCGCTGGTGGGGCTGCTGAGGGGCGGGGGAACTTCAGCTGCGTTTGCACGCGGGGGGGGGGGGCGCACTTTGCTCCCAGTTCTGCCTGCAGCCGGGGAAGGACGTGGGGGAGTGGGTCCTGCCAGGCGTGGGACACTGCGCCGCGGCGAGGGGGCCCGGGAGCCCCAAGCGGCCGCAGAGCGGCTGCTTGCCCCCGCCCCTGCCGTGCCCCCTTCCGGGGCTCTGGGTCCCCCAGCGGTGTGGGCGCTCGCCTGCCTGGGCCCCGCACAGCCGCTGCGCTCGCCCTGGGTGCGGCTCCTCCCCGGCCCCCCTTGGCTGCCCTTCTTGGGGCCCCCCTGCCCGCCCCCAGGAGCGCCTCTCTCTCCCGGCAGTACCTGGAGCTGCGCTTCAACAAGGCCGTGAGGATCTGTGGGACGGCGACCTTCATCTTCCAGATGGTGAGTCGGGGAGGCCGCCCCGTCGTGTGGGGGGAGCCCTCGTGCTGATCACCCCCGCCTGGACGGGCTGCAGCTCCCGGCTGCCTCGCTTCTGCACCTCCATGGATTCCTGCCGGATCGGCCCCTGGGGCTCTCCGGCCCTTTCCAGTGGAGACCCTCCCCGGGAGCCCATGTGTGGGGAGAAGAGCCACGGCACCACCCCACAGCCCCTGCCCCCAGCTGCCGTAACCTCCGGCCTGGTCCTCTGCCGGGGAGCTCATCTCACCCGCCCCCCCAGTGGGAACGCTCCCCACCATTCAGGCGCTGTGTGTGCGCCGAGGCCATGCGCTCCCATCCTGGTCTCCTGCGGGAGGCAAAGCCCCGGAGGGGGGTGCGTGAGGCCGGCCACTGAGACCGGCCCCCATCCCTGGGGGACCCCTTGCCGGGGGGGGCGGGGGGGCAGCCAGAGCATGGCAGGAGAGCTGTGTGGCGGCAGCCACAGGTGCGCCCCCTCACTCCGCCCCTTGTCGCAGGTGGTGTACATGGGGGTGGTCCTCTACGCCCCAGCGCTGGCGCTCAACGCAGGTGAGTCCCAGGGGCCGGGCGCCAGGGAGGGCTCCCTCTCGGCCGGGGGCAGGCTGGCCCGCAGGCGCTCCCCTCCCGACCTGCGTGCTGCGCTGTGCGGCCCCCGGCGCTCCCCAGCCTGCTGGGGGGGCGCACAGCCAAGCGCCTCCCCGAGCGATGCCTCTCGGTTGCAGTGACCAACTTCGACCTGTGGGCCTCCGTGCTGACCATCGGGCTTGTCTGCACGCTGTACACCTCCCTGGTAAGCACAGGCCCGTGCCGCTCCCCCCGGGCGCCCTGCCGCGGCGTCCCCCGCCTGTGCCCCCGCCTCGTCTGGCTAACGGCCTGTCCCCATCCCCCCTCCCCTCCGCAGGGCGGCCTCAAAGCCGTGATCTGGACAGACGTGTTCCAGACGTTCGTCATGTTCGCGGGGCAGGTGGCCGTGATCGTCGTGGGCACCGTGAAGGTGGGCGGCATGGGGCGCGTCTGGCAGCTGGCTGCCGAGCAGGGCAAGGTCTCGGGCATCGAGTAAGTGTCTCCCTCCCCCCCCCCGCGTGCGCCGACCGGGGTGAGCGCCTCGGAGGGCCACTCACCCACCCCTGTCCTCCGCAGCCTGAACCCGGACCCCTTCGAGCGGCACACCTTCTGGACGCTGGCCTTCGGCGGGGTCTTCATGATGCTCGCGCTGTACGGAGTGAACCAGGCCCAGGTGCAGCGGTACCTGAGCTCCCGCTCGGAGCGGCAGGCGGTGCTGTGAGTACTCTGGTGGCCGGGGGGCCCTGCACGGCAGGGTGCGGGGGGGGCGCGGAGGGCCCTGCACGGAAGGGTGCGGGGGGCCGGGGCCTGCCTGCCTGCCTGACGCTGCCCCCCCCCACAGCTCCTGCTACGCCGTCTTCCCCTGCCAGCAAGTCGTGCTGTGCCTCGGCTGCCTCACCGGCCTGGTCATGTTCGCCTACCACCAGCAGCACCCGCTGGCCCCCGAGCAGAGCGGCGCCTCACCAGACCAGGTGGGTGGGCCGGGGCTGCCTCCCCACCTCTTCCCGGGACTGCGGCCTGCCCCTCGCCACGCTCCGCCCCCCGGGCCTCTTCCCGGCCACTCGCCGCCTTTCCCCGAACCGAGCGGCAGGCGGGTGGGCCTTCCTTGCCAGGCGCGCTGAGCTGCGGCAGGGAAGGGAAAGGGCTCCAGTGCCAGCACGGCCGCCAACCGCCGCCCCGGATGCTCCCCGGTCCGGCCCGGAGGCCCCCGTGGCGCCACTCAGAGGCTCTAAGCGCATGCCTCCCGCTCCCCCCACACCCGCAGCTGGTGCTCTACTTCGTGATGGACGTGCTGCAGGAGGTGCCTGGCCTGCCCGGCCTCTTCGTGGCCTGCCTCTTCAGCGGGTCCCTCAGGTGAGCCTCCTCCATCCCTGGAAGGCGGGTCCAGGCCCCCCCCGCCCCCCCTCATTCTCTCTTGCCGTGTGCAGCACCATCTCCTCGGCCTTCAACTCGCTGGCCACGGTGACCATGGAGGACCTGATCCGCCCCCACGTGGCCAACATCCCTGAGAGGCGCGCCACGCTCTACTCCAAGCTGCTGGGTGAGTGGCACTGTTGCGGGGGGGGAGCGACTGCTTCTTGGCACACCTGAGTGACCCAGGAGGCCCTGCCCCACCGCGCAGCTCCCCGGCCCCCACCTTGACCCCTGGCCGCTTCTCCCCCCAGCTGTGGGCTACGGACTGCTCTGCCTGGGAATGGCGTATCTCTCCTCCATGATGGGCCCAGTGCTGCAGGTAAGGGGTGCCACGTGGCCACGCCTCTTTGTGCACGTGTGGAAGCCCCCACGGCCTCCCTGCACCAGCCCCCATTGCTTAGCCTGAGGGCAGCCCCCCACCCTGCCCTCTCTCTGCCCCCCTGCATCCACAGCAGGCTGTTGAGCATCCCCTCCCTGGCCAGGGCTCACCCCTCAGCAGCTCCCATCCCATCCCGAAGGGGGTTCCGGGGATGCCCATTGTGCCCTGGGGTGGGGGCCTTCGTCCCCAGCACTTCTGGCCCCTTTCTCGCCCTCCTTGCGCCCGCTTGGCTGGGCGCTCGCTGCTGCCGGCTTTTCCCCGCTGGGGGCGGACCCTCCCGGGGCTGCCTGCCCAAACCGCTGGGTAATTCAGCAACGCGCTTCTGGCTTGTGAAGAAGGTGGCGTGATCGCGATTCACCGGGCACCGGAGCCTGGTTTCACGCGCAAGTGGCCCGCGGTGTGTTCGCCTCGGGAGAGGCCCTCCCGGGCAGGCGGAATTCCTTGTCCGCCCGGCCTGCCCTCGGGAAGAGCCCCGCGGAGCCGAGGGGGACTTTGCCCTCTGGGCTGCGGCACCTCGGCTCGGCGATCGGCTCGCGGGGGAACTGCAGGGCGGCAGCGTTCCGGGTGTCTTTCTGCAAAGCCGGCGGCTGATGGCAGGAATGGGACCGGGGGGCTGCGAGGCCCGGGGGGGAACGGGGCACCCGCTCGCTCGTGGCCCGGGGCTGAGGAGGCCCTGCCGCAAGGCCTTCCCTGGGACTGGGAGGAGCCCCTGGTGCCTGCCCTCCCGCCCCGTCCCTCCAGCACGAAGGTCACGCCCGTCTCTCCCCAGGCCGCCATGAGCATCTTCGGCATGGTGGGGGGGCCCCTCCTCGGCCTCTTCTGCCTGGGCATGTTCTTCCCGTGGGCCAACGCCGTGGTGAGTGCTGCTGCCGGGGGCTCTGGCCTGCCCCCTTCTGGGCTGCCTCTGGGGCTGAGGCATGGCCGGCATGTGGGGCGCGAGGGCAGGGGCCACGTCCCTCCCTCCCTGCGAGGGCAGCCACGCTGGGGCATCGCTGTGCGGGGCGGGGGCGCAGGAGTGGGCAGGCGTGCCCTTGGGGGGGCGCATCCCTCCACTCCTCAACTGGCCCCTCACTCGCCCTCCCCCTCCTCAGGGCGCTGTCGCGGGGTTGGCGGCCGGGCTAGTGATGGCCTTCTGGGTGGGGATCGGGAGCCTGGTGGCCGGTGCGCAGGCCGCCCCCCCCCAGGGCCAGCAGCCCTCCTCCTGGCGGAAACGTGACTGCCGTCGTCATGACCACGCTGATGGCCTCCACAGCAGCTCCGGAGAGGTAAAACCCGGTGCGGCCCCGATCCCTGCCGTGTGTGGGCCCCGCGGATAGGCGGGGCGCAGGTGGCCCAGAGGGAGGTGGCCTGTCCACACCTGTCCCATCATGTCCCCGGCAAGGCGCCCGGGTTGCAGGGCCCTGCGCCGATCCCCGCCCAGCCGGGCGAGGGAAGCTGTGCCCGGATGGGGCAGGCAGATGTGGGTCCGGCCCCGAGGCCACACCCTGCCTTCCTGTCCCTCCAGAGGGTCCCCTCCACTCTGCCCCAAGGCTGCACGGCCCCTCCAGGCGCCACCTCCAGGCACAGCCTGGGCGCTCAACCGCCATGCGGCCAGCGGGCGCCCGGCACGCGGCAGGGGAGCCGGGAAGGCCCCGCGGACCTGGAGCAGCTTCCTCTGCCTGCCAGCCAGAGCCTTCCTCTCTGCAGCAGCCCGGCAGCCCCAGCCCCGAGCACGTGCCCTTTCCCCGCAGCCAGAGGCTCCCCCGCAGTGCGTGCCACACGCTCCGGGTGCCCCCTCTGCCCTGCCCTGCCCTGCCCTGCCCTGCGCTGCCTGGCGCGGTGGTCGGGTGTGGAGCTGGGCTCGGCTCTCTCTGCTCTGCGCTGGAGCGTGGGACTCCCTGCCGGGGGGGAGGGGAGGGGAACGTGAGGCCCTCTGGGGCGGCTGGGAGGCCGGGGCCCGTGGCCGCGATCCGCCCGTGCGCTGAGGCCTCTCCTCTCACTCCCGCCAGGCTTGTGGGGCTGCGCAAATTCTACAGCCTCTCGTACCTGTGGTACAGCGCCCACAATTCAGCCACCGTCATCGTGGTGGGTCTGCTGGTCAGCTTCCTCACCGGTACGTGGGGGCCTGGGGGGGTGCCAAGCCGCACACACATCCTGGCACTTGGGGGGCACTGAGGGGCCGCTGCCACCACCCTTTGTCCCTAGCCAGGTGCTGATGCTTCATGGGAAGGCGGGAGGTCCGCGTGCCGAGGGGGGCTGGGAGGGGGCAGCCCACGGCCCGGAGGCAGCTCGGGAAGCAGCATCACCCGGGCCCTGCCGGGAGCGCCTCGGGTCCCCGTGGGGGGGTGCGGTGGGGGCTCGCCTGGGGTTTGCAGCAGGGCTCCCCCATGACCCCCCTTCTCTCTGGTGCAGGTCCCTCACGGGGGAAGGACGTGAACCCTCGCACCATCTACCCGGTGCTGCCCCGCCTCCTCTGCTGCTTGCCGGCCCGGTACCAGGCCTGCCTGCGCTGCGGCGTCCCCGACCCGGCCAAGGTGAGCGCCAGCTGAGGTCTGCGGGCAGCCCCTTCCTTCTCGGCAGCCCCCCCGCTACACCCGAGTGGCCGGAAGTGGGGCGCTGCGGTAGGGGCTGGCCTGCCGGGAATCCTGCGGAAGGGGGGCTTTGGGTAGGGGGCTTGAGCAGGCAGGAGGGGCACTGGGGGGGCGTGCTATGTTGCAGCCGGGGAGGGAGTGGCCGGGGGAAGAGGAGCATGCCGGAGAAGTGGGGCCGGTCGGAGGTTGACCCACATTCCGTCTCTTCAGGATGGAAGCAGCTCGGCAGCTGCAGCAGTCGAGAAGACCAGGAACGGGCTGCCGAACGGGCTGCCGGAGGGCCTGCCCCCCGGGGGCAGCCCTGAAGCAACGGAGCTGGGCGAGGGGTTTGTCCAGACCGAGGAGTGCCCTGCCTACGTCCTGCGGGAGACGGCCCTCTGAGCTGGCGAGCTGCCCACGGGGCCTCCGCTCAGCCAGGAGGGGCATGCCCGGGACCCCCCTAGGCTTGCCCAGGGGCCCGGCTGGGCGTCCCCGCTGCCGCCCTGGTGAGCGCCCCCCGAGTTCAGGGCCACCCCTCCACTTGGACGGTGAAAGTGCCACGCTCCATGGAAGGATGGGCGGCGGGCACAGCCCTCGGCCAGGAGCACAAGAGCCCGTGCAGGCGTCTCCGGGGCCCGGCCTTCCTCCTGCCACACACTTCGCCCAGGGCTCTCATCCCCCGCCCACGCAGCCAGGCCTGGGTGGGCCGTGACCGTGCGGTGAGGTCGCCCAGCCGCCGTGACCACAAGGCATTCTGCCCCCCAGCGGGCGACAGGCAGGGGCCCGGCAGGAAGCACCAAGGAGCACCGGGCCCCCACTGCCAAGGCCCTGCCATGGGCACAGACATTCCCGCACGGCGGAGGCTGCTGTTCCCCAAGAGGTAGCCCCCCACTCCCCAAGAGCTGCCTCCCGGCCCTTTTTTGGGGCCAAAGGGGGCAGGGCCCCCCCCCCCCCCGGTTTGGCACTTTGCGTTTCTTGTCTGCGATAGGTTTTTGTCTCCCTGGTCCATGTTGTCTTTCTGATGCCCAGCCGTGGTTTAGGCGGCTGGTAGTAAAGAAGAGAAACCGCTCCTGGTTGGTGCCTGTTGTAATGGGGGGAGGCCTGCGGGGGTTCCGGTCCCGGCCGTGCCCTGCAGTCGGGCAGCGTTGCTTTCCCCTCCCCCCCAGCCAGGCCTCCCCCCTCGTGGACTCTGTGAGGACCATGATAGGGAAGCACGGGCTCCCAGCGCAAGGAGGCCACGTGGGAGGAAGTGCAGCCGGGACCTGCCTCCTGGGCTCCCCCGGCACGTCCCCCCGTGAACCGCTGGCGTGTCCGTGGGCTCTGTGTCCACGGGAAGCGGGTGGGGAAGCGGCACGCCGGTGACATGCTCCCGGAGGGCCCGGTGGGGCTGCAGCCTCCACCGAACCAGGTCCCCCCCCCCCGTGGAATCCCCCTGTGCATGGGGAAGAGTGTGCGTGTTGTGGGGGGCCTGTGTGCCCCGAATGCCTCGGTCGCTTCGCGAGAAGCTGGCTGCAGCACTCGGAGGCACCCGGGAGTCCTGCACCGCAAGCCCCCAGGCATGCCTCGGCGCGCCCCCATGCGCTCCTGCCCGGCCAGCCCCTTCACAGCGCCAGGCCAGGCGTGCCGGGCGAGGGCAGGCAGAACAGACCGGGCCGGCAGCAAGCTCCAGGAGCGGCTCCCACGGCACGCGCCCGCCTGCCCTTTGCCCAGGGAGCCGCAGCCCTGGGAGGGGCACCAAACACACCTCCAGGGCGAGCCTGAGCGGAGGCGCCCCAGTGGGAAAGGGGGCCGAGTGTGGCTGCCGTTGGCCAGGACACCGGGGTGGGCGCTGGACTGGGGCCGCTGTCTCCCAGGGAGCACAGGAAGGGCCCGAGGCAGGCGGGAGAGGAGGTGCCAGGCGGAGCGTTTGGCCCACACAACAGACCACAGTGCTAAAAAGCACGGCTCGTCGTGCTGCCTGGGCTCGGTCGGCCCACCTGCACAAGCAGAGGGCGGAGCTGGGGCGGGGGGGGGGCAAGGCTGGAGCTGCAGGGGGCTGGCAGCCGGCACAAAAAGGCCCACGCTGCCGTCCGTTCCCTCGAGGACCTTCTGCCGTGGGGCTGCGGGCGCTCGCCAGCGCCCGGACCATGCCCAGGGGAGGGCACAGCGGAGCCGGGCACAGCTGGGCCTGGTGTCGGGAAGGGTTCTCCCCCTCGTGATGCCAGAGCCCAAAGGGCCTGGGGGAGATCCAGAGCGGATGACACGGCGTGTGCTTGAACTATGCAGCGCTGCCTCGCAGAAGGTGGGGACGGCCACCAACTGGACCAGCTTTGAAGCAGGATTAGAGAAACGCATGCAGGGGAAGGCCGTCAAGGGCTACTAGTCGGGAAGGCTGCCTTGCCCCCACAATCAGGCACGAGAAGTGGCATTGCAGGCTTCTCACAGGCATCTGGTTGGCCAGTGACACAGAAACAGCGCGAGTCAGAAGGGGCCTCCTGGGCTGTCTAGTCTGACCCCGGCTCCAGCCAGCTCTGCTCATGACATTTATTTATTTATTTGACACATTTCTATGCTGCCCCCTTCGCAAAAGCCTCTGGCGGCTTCCAAACAAGCCATGTGCATGTCCAGCCTGTCCTTGAACACCCTCATGATGGGGCCTCAGCCACCTACCATGGAAGCCCATTCCACACCCTCGGGGTCCTGACTGCTCCATCCTGTTGTCTCCTGCCCACTTCCATAGTCTGCTCCTCAGTTGTGGCCACTGCCCCAGTTTTAATATCATCTTCAAATTTGATCAGCAGACTGGTCGCTCCATCCTCCAGGTCATTGATGAACAGATTGAACAGGATCGGCCCCAGGACAGAGCCCTGGGGGACCCCGCTTGTCACTGGCTGCCATCCCAATGATTCCTTGCCCTAATCCACCGGACAGTGCTTTGGTGTATCCCAAAACTCCCCAGTTTCTCCACCAGGATATCATGGGGCACTTTGTCAAAGGCCTTGCTGAAATCAGGTAAACCACATCCACTGCATCCCCTCCATCCAGCCATCTCGAAACCTTGTCATAGAATCCCACAGGGTTTGTCTGGCGGGACCCGTTTTTGTGGAAGCCGTGTTGTGTGGCTGTCAGCCTCCCTTCCCTATCTAGCATCGCTAGATCTCTATTATGAGCCTTTCCATTATTTTTCCTTTACTGGACACAAGGCTAACTGGTCTGTAATTCCCCATGACCCTTCTACCACCCTTTTTGAACACTGGGACCACTGATGCCACCCTCCGTGAGGGGATGCTGGCCAGACACTGCAATGCCTCTTCTGGAGCTAGTCCAAATAGCGGCACTGTGCGCTCCATCAGCTGGATAGAGTAAATCAGTGCTTGGATCTTTCTCTGTGATTTGTGAGGACAGAATTGTAGGTCCTATTAAGGTGAGTTTGTTTAAGGCATTTGTAAGTTGCTCTATAACGGACATTATCTGGGCCCTTCTTCCGTTTCGGCTTTCCACGCGGCCCCCGCGCCCGGCCCTCCCCCTCCTGCCCCGGGTCGGCCCGCCAGGCTCCGGCGATCCGCTCCGAGCGCTGCAGGCGCCCGGCTTCCGCCCGTCCTAAAGATGGCGCCCGCGCAAGCAGGTCCGCCCCTCCGGACGGGCACCCGCGGCCACGTGACCCGAGGCCCGGCGCGTGCGGCTCGCGCTGACGTGGGCTTGCGCCTGCGCGGCGGGGCTTTGGACGGGCGTTCTGCGGGCTCGGCGGGGCCGGCCCTGTCTCCCCCGCCCGCCGCCCAGCCATGGCGCCCCGCCGGCGGCCCCCGGAGCTCTACCGGGCGCCCTTCCCGCTCTACGCCCTGCGGGTGCACCGCGAGGCCGGCCTGGCGCTGGTGGCGGGCGGCGGCGGCGCGGCCAAGACCGGGATCGCCAACGGCCTGGTACGCCCCTCGGCTCGGCTCGGGCGGGCGGCGGGGGCGCGGGCGCGGGGCGCGCGAGGCCGCGGCGGCTGAGCGCGCCCCCTTCCCGCCTAGCACTTCCTGCGGCTGGAGTGGATCGAGGGCCGGCTGTCCGCCGCGCTGCTGCACGCGCACGACACGGAGACGCGCGCCACCATGAGCCTGGCGCTGGCCGGGGACGTCGTCGC